ACCAGAGCTCCCTGACAAAGACCTAGGCAACATTATTACTTCCATTTTCTGCAAAATTGCCTGCCCAAAGTCACACAGCTAGTAAGCGGTGGAGCCAGGATTTGAACCTGGTATGCCTGGCTCTAAAGCTCATGTTCTTAAGCATTATGCTATGACCTCTTGAGGCTTCCCAATAAATAGTTGTTCAAACACGACTTTTTGTGAGAAAAATGAATCCTTCTGGTGCCACCATGTGTACCCAGTACCACCAGCACATAGCTAATGCATCCTGAATGCCTATGTGTCCTAATGTGCCTTTCAGAGAAACCCAAGGACAACCCAGTTCCTTGCAAGCTGTGCATGGGAGGGTATGTTCCTCAACTGGTACCAGGAGTGGCGTGGTTCAGAAAAGACCTTCCAGGAAATGTAACCAGAAGGTAGCTTCTAAGCCCTTGGAATGTTGTGCCTGTTAAGATTATCTTTGTTTACTGTGACCCCTCGTGACCCTTCAGGTCTGGAATTGAGCTCACTCTTGTGGCTTCCAGCCAGATAACAGGCACATGGGCTGAATATTTACATCAAGCAGCTATATTCTTTGAAGCAATCAATTGTGGGAGAACAAAAGGGCCATGTATGCACAGGGAGGTGGCTCTTGGGGGTGGGGGCAGAAGTGCATGGGAGGGAAGGACACAGGGAAGAGGTACCTGTGGGAGGCAGTGGGCTGAGAGCTGTTCCCTCATGGAGAATTGCAGTTAATGTCAGGGGACAAAATGTGTATGAAGTGCTGTATGGAAAATGAGTTTGCTCTGTAAAGTTTCACACAGATCATAATAAAAATTAAAATATATATGTATATTATCTTTGTTTACCTGGAGACTTTGGGCCACATATAGTCTATAACACTGTGGTTATGAGGTATCAGCTTGACTTGTAGAAGGGCTGCAGACTAATGCCCCCCGTGTGTGGTCAGCTGTGTCTATGACGGACCCCCAATGAACGGCTCAGGTGAGCGTGCCTGGTTGGCAGGACTCTGTGTGTGCGGTTACACAGCACCGCTGGGGGCATTAAGCTCTGTCTTGACTCCACCAGCAAGGACAATGGAGCTTGCCCTGGTCTCCCCTGGACCCTGTGCCACGCATCTGTTTCCTTTCTTGATTTTAATTGGATCCTCACAACTGACAGTGTGACACTTTCTCTGAGCTCCTTGAGTCCTTCTGGAAACCACTGAACCCGAGTGTGTTTGTTGTTGCTGTCGGGTGTCGTTCAGGCGATTTCGACTCGTGACAACCCTGTGTGACAGAGTAGAACTGCCCCATGGGGTTTCCTAGGCTGTCATCGTTACAGGAGCACACTGCTAAGTTTTCCCTCATAGACTCTGGGTAGGTTTGAACACCAGCCTTTTGGATAGCAGCCCAGTGCTTAACCACTGGGCTACCAGGGCCCCCACATTCTAGTGGAGTTCTGGACTACCCAGGAGGAGCTCTGGTGGCATAGTGCCTAAGGCACTTGCCTGCTAGCCAGAAGGCTGGTGGTTCAA